GCGGCTCCACAAGTACAATTATAACATAACATAGACTATATCGATATAAAGGATATTGTCACATCTTATATCTCGTATAAAAATGTATCGATATTTTTAAAAAACTCGATATATTGCCCAGCCCTAGTGTGCGTAACTACTCAGCCCCCTTAGTCAATACTTTGTAGAACCACCTTTTGCTGCAATTACAGCTGCCAGTCTTTTAGGGTCTGTCTCTACCAGCTTTGCACATCTAGAGACTGAAATCTTTGCCCATTTTTCTTTGCAAAACAGCTCCAGCTCAGTCAGATTAGATGGACAGCGTTTGTGAACAGCAGTTTTCAGATCTTGCCACAGATTCTCGATTGGATTTAGATCTGGACTTTGACTGGGCCGTTCTAACACATGGATATGTTTTGTTTTAAATTCGATTGTTGCCCTGGCTTTATGTTTAGGGTCGTTGTCCTGCTGGAAGGTGAACCTCCGCCCCAGTCTCAAGTCTTTTGTAGACTCCAAGAGGTTTTCTTCCAAGATTGCCCTGTATTTGGCTCCATCTATTTTCCCCATCAACTCTGACCAGCTTCCCTGTCCCTGCTGAAGAGAAGCACCCCCAGAGCATGATGCTGCCACACCATATTTGACAGTGGGGATGGTGTGTTCAGAGTGATGTGCAGTGTTAGTTTTCCGCCACACATAGCGTTTTGCATTTTGGCCAAAAAGTTCCATTTTGACCAGAGCACTTTCTTCCACATGTTTGCTGTGTCCCCCACATGGCTTGTGGCAAACTGCAAATGGGACTTCTTATGGTTTTCTGTTTTCTGGCTTTCTTCTTGCCACTCTTCCATAAAGGCCAACTTTGTGCAGTGCACGACTAATAGTTGTCCTATGGACAGATTCCCCCACCTGAGCTGTAGATCTCTGCAGCTCGTCCAGAGTCACCATGGGCCTCTTGGCTGCATTTCTAATCAGCGCTCTCCTTGTTCGGCCTATGAGTTTAGGTGGACGGCCTTGTCTTGGTAGGTTTACAGTTGTGCCATACTCCTTCCATTTCTGAATGATCGCTTGAACAGTGCTCCATGGGATGTTCAAGGCTTGGGAAATCTTTTTGTAGCCTAAGCCTGCTTTAAATTTCTCAATAACTTTATCCCTGACCTGTCTGGGTGTGTTCTTTGGACTTCATGGTTTTGTTGCTCCCAATTTTCTCTTAGACAACCTCTGAGGCCGTCTGTGATGGCTGCACTTACAGCCACACAGTGGTAATACCCACCATGTTAGTGTAGAGGCTTATAAGTAACATTGCATTCACATTTCTTTCTTTAAATATAGGAATTAATTTACAGTAGGGCTGCTCAATTAATCGAATTTTAATCACGATTACGATCTGGGCTTTCAACGACCATTAAAAATGACTGAGCCGATTATTAGCCCCTCCCTAATTTATCCGCGACACCTTAAAGGCCGGTCCGTGAAAATATTGTCGGGCATAAACCGGTCCGTGGCGCAAAAAAGGTTGGAGACCGCTGATTAAGAGGACCCGAGGGAAGCTCGGAAAGCTAAGCAGAAGTTATTTGGAGAGTGACTGCCGTTGGTTGAAAAGAGAGTTTAAAAAAAACAAACAAACTTCAGTGGTGTTGCACACTATTTTATATTATTTTTTTAAAGTCATTGTTAACCCTTTAAAGCCGGTCAGAGCAGCACGCTCCGTTTTGCGTAACTATTTTTAAATCCCTGTAGAATCTGAACCGTGTAAGCTAGCGCAATAATTTGTTTTGCATATGAAACCGGAGGAGTTGTACTTACATCTGATGCCATCAGCTTGTCCTCGGTCACGGTTTCGTTCCACATATAGCTTTGCAAAAATTGCATAAAAAGCGCTTGCAGGAACAAAAACATAATATTCCAGAAACACGCTTTGCCGTTCCTATCACTTCCCACAGTGAAATGATGCACATGCTGTTTTCTTTGCAAATTTGCATCATAGGATTGTTTTTTGTTTTTCCTGCAGTATATAAAAATTGGTGTATCTCCAAAATAAAACTATGAAGACACTCAAAATAAATTTCCTGTGGTGGGAAACTATTTTTTGCAACTTTATTGTATTTAAAGTTTTGAGGGATAAGCCTCTTAAATTTCTCCAAGTAGAAATATATGTAAACAAAACAAAAGCGATTTTCAATTTTTTTTGTAGTTTATTGCACTTTTTTGCAATTTATGTAATTACTATGCACTTAATGCATACATATTATTAAAATATGGGCTATAACAGTTGTATTGATGTATAGCAACTTGAAATGCTCCCACAAATGGCACTACAGCATGTAAAAAAAATAATATAAGCTCTGGTGGACTTGGTTCTATAGTAGGTCTTAAAGGGTTAAATAAATATCGTCAAATAATCGTGATCTCAATTTCAGTGAAAATAATCGTGATTATCATTTTTGCCATAATCGAGCAGCCCTAATTTACAGGACAATAAATAACTGGTTTTGGTTTAGAGTTAATTCACATATCCACATAACACTGCATTCTAAAATAAGTGCGCACATTTTAGTTTACACTGTTATGTATGATTCATTTTTTGTTTTCTGAGTTACCTTAGTTGCAGCTGTTCCAGTCCCTTGATTAAGGAGCCAAGAGGTGGAAAAGGGGCGGAGCGAGCTTTAAAGGAAGAATACAAATTGGTTCACGCCATAACCCAGGACCATGGGGGGGAATTGGAGTTCATTATGTTTGGTTTGTTAGGTTTTGTGTGTTTTACCCCTTCTCCTGTTTTTGTGGGCTGATCAGCCACTATTAAAGTTTTCCCTTTGTCTCATTAAGTTAGGTCAGTTTGAGTTATCAGTTGTGTTGTCAACTTTGAATAGAGTTTTGTTATTTTGACCTCTTTTATGGGCCCAAGATTTTGAGTCTTTTTGCATGAGTTAACCAATTATGTTTTTTGGGTTAAATAAAAAAAATCATTTTTTTGGACTTTAACCTGTGCCTAAGTTTCCTTCACTGCTCGGTCCATCACACCGTCACAGAGCAGCTGTATTTGTACTGACATTAGATTACACACAGGTGCACTCTATTTAGTCATTAGCACTCATCAGGCAATGTCTATGGGCAACTGACTGCACTCATACCAAAGGGGGCTGAATAATTACGCATACCCCACTTTGCAGTTATTTATTTGTAAAAAAAATGTTTGGACTCATGTATGATTTTCGTTCCACTTCTCACGTGTACACCACTTTGTGTTGGTCTTTCACGTGGAATTCTAATAAAATTGATTCATGTTTGTGGCTGTAATGTGACAAAATGTGGGGAAAGTTCAAGGGGGCCGAATACTTTTGCAAGCCACTGTAGTCCCTGGGACACACAAACCCCTCCACCATGATAAGGTAGAGAATTGCAGAGGGGAAGAATATTGAAGTCATTCAAAAAGGAGACAATATTACATACAAAGCAATTCTAGCCGTCTTTTTCATTAAATTAGTGTGTTATTTCAATGTGTGTAGGACTACTTTAGTCCTATTTTTGCATGTACTGAGTTGCTTCTAAGAATCTATATTTCATATTGAACAATCTGTATTTCATACCGTAGCCTACTGTATATAACCTGTAGGCTGTACAGCAGGCTTTATTTTACTATAGTAGGCTATAAATTAAAACATTTATTTATCAGGAGCATTTCCTTTCATTTCATTTGATCCTTGAACACCTGTTTGACTCAACTATTCTATTGTAAAACTCACACTGGCTGTAGCTCAGGTGGCAGAGCGGATCAGCCACTAACCAGAAGGTCGGTGGTTTGATCCCAGGCTGCTCCAGTCTGCATGCCAAATATCCTTGGGCAAGATACTAACCCCATGTTGCTCTCCGATGCATCCATCGGAGTGTGTATGAATGTTAGATACTTAGCACTTAAGCTTAGAAGTGCTTGTGTGATTATACAAGTAATTCATTCACCCAAAGTGCTTTGAGTGCTCAGACAGAGTAGAAAAGCGCTATATAAGAACCAGTCCATTTACCTTTTACACAAAGACTATGCATAACAACTTTGCATTTGAGAGCAATTCGATTTTTTAGATATTCATCATAGACAGAACATTAACTTGGAAGGTAACTTGTGTCTTTGTTTCCAACTCTAGAGAAACTGGCCCACGCCAAAGAAGAAAATCTGGACATGCACCAGGTATTGGACCAAACCCTTTTGGAACTCAACAATCTATAGTGACCTTTACAGATATCAGTGAACGACAGCCTGAATGAAAGCAGGAGGAAAAACCAGATTCATCTTTCATAATACTCCCAGGCTGCATCTCTAAAATAAATAAAGGAAATATGAGGGTTTGCTATTCACATAATTCTAAAAGCAGGAGCAAGAAAAACGCCTTTTGCAGTGAATGTGAAACTTCAAAATATCTTAGATATTGTCAAAACTTCAATCATTATTAAACTGAAATTAAACTAGAACATCAATCATGGAAACGGCTATATTAAAAAACAGACATTTATGTATCACAAGACATACAGTATGTGCATTGTCACCGTTATTAAAGGATAGTAAGATTAAAATTGTTTTAAAAAGAAACCCAGCTATGTGATAAAAGAAGGTTTTAAGTATTTTTACTTTTATTTCTTGCCATGGATGACATTTTAGGTTTCACCTCTTCATTTTGCCGTTGTTACTTTTCATGCTTTGTTCTTTATATGGAGATATGAATACTGATCCCTCAATAAAAGCCAATATTATAGACATGTTGGTTTTGTAATTGTAATGCTTTATTTTATAGGTCTGGAAATGTCATGGTAATACACACACAAACATGAGTTTTTGCTGCTGTTGTCATAACTACCACACGTTCAGTCAGACATTGAGTTAACTTGGCTTTGGAATACAGCATGGGTCTGAAATAGCAGGATAGATAGTAAAAAAAAAAAAAAAAAAAAAAAAAAAAAAAAGAGTAAATTCTGCACTAAATATCCTTCTAACATTAAGACTTGATTTAGGCTTCTGCAGGAAATCTACATCCTAACTTACATAGTACCGGAAAACCCTTTCCCCCCGTACACCATAACCAACTGAAGGCTCAGAATTAAAATACCAAAATACAAAACCACGAATTACAGAGACAAAACAAAAAAATCTCTAGAGAGCTGATCGGCCTGGTGATATCCTCTGAGTTGTGGAAAAGGTAAAAGTGTGGGGACCTTCCACATGCCATCAGTTCTTCTGTGTTGACAGACAAATTGCATATTTTATCATAGAAAATCTCCTGGACAGTTTTTTCAAATATTCTGTGTAAAATCATACATTTCAGTTTGTTTTTTTAATTAGGTACTTAGTTGGACACATTGTACTTGCTATTAAGCCTTGACATTATGGTCATATATATGAGCCTTAAAACAGAATGGATGGAGACCTTTTCGCTTCACAATAATTAAATATCTTTTTAGCCACCTGTACTTCTTTTTTAACACAAAAATAGGCGTCAAATTGACTTCAAAAACAGAATTGCCTGGACAAGTTTGAATTCATTTTAGATTTTCTCTAACACTTGGCATCAAATGTATACAGGTTCAAATATATAACTCACTTAAATCTTTTAATAAGTTGTACAAACTTGTATAAACTTCTCATTAGTGATTACAATTGACTACAACTGATCATTTCTTTTTACCAGCATAAACATTTGCTTGACCAACAGTGTTGGTCAAGCAAATGTTGCATTCAACAAAAGTGAAAAGCCACCACTTTATTCATGTCTTTGTTTTCACAGTATGGTCCTCATGTCCAGCAGTGCATCCTCCACAGCTTTTTTCAGCTCTTCTGAATTATTTTCTGTGTTTGTTTTGAAGGCTGACATCACAAAAGCCATGTCATCCTTCAAAAGAGTATAGCATATATCATACGTTTTACGTTGATAAGGGCAAGCACATGGGAGACAACCAGATTTGGACTGCACCTTGTGAAGTAGAACAAAGTTTGACATAGTGGTTAATTATTGTGTTAAACAATATAGTTGTTTGATATGCACTTTGTGAGAATGATTGAAACCTCATTAGCAACACAGCTAATACCATGTCATATAGCCTAAGAGTGTCCTTGATCTTAATAGATGTGTTGTGTTCATCATAACTATCAGTTGAGGCTGAAAACAAAAATAATATTTAAACAAAAGAATATAAATGAGTCCCTTCCTCATCAGTTTGGAAAGATACCAATTGGAGAAACATTAACCATTTTTTGCGGCAGACAGAAGTTTGATTATGTCTCTAGTAATATAATACTATTAAGACTTTGTCAGCTCAATTTCAGCTGTGCTCCTCACCTGACTTGTAGCAAGTCGATAGTCAAAAACTCTATCAAAGGAGGCGTCTGTGAAGATGTCCGGCATGGGAATATTTTTCTCAGTTGCTTGGTGCTGTAGACCCAGGAAGTGCCCAAAGACTGTCTGTCCACTAATTTCCTATTACAAAGAAGACAACTCACAATGTTTGCACAGGACTAAACATGACCTGTAGAGTGCTTACACAGCATTTTTCAGACAGTTTCAGCACAACAGCAACAAAAAAGTCCGATTCTTTTATCCATGTTTGCATGGGTTTTTTGTACCCCATAGTTTTATATCCTATGGTCATCTTCTTAAGCCTAGATTATACTAACATGGACATGTAGAGCTAAGTAGCCATTCCTGATATACCTCTTTGAAGTCCATTGCCTAGGCCCATATGCAGGTGGTACATTTTGATGAAAAGTTTCATTTTGAAGAAAAAGGTCATCTGGTCTCAGATTCAAGTAGATGCAAGCAGACTTACAGATACACAAGGGATAACGTAGACTTTCTGTAATTATACAGTCTCCATTTATTTAGGTTACCCATCCTTTGTTTTTACCATGGCTGTATAGAGAAGACTACAATCTAGTCATAATTCTAGATTATCAGAGATTGTATTTACCTAACAAACTACAGAAAAACTAAGCCAAAACAAAGAAGCAGTGTGGGGATTTTTAAGGTGTTTTATTTTTTTAAAATGTCAGTTTTCTGCTCTTGGAGCATTCAGCACTAAAGAGAAAGGCCATCAAATAATTTTAGAAGAGCAGTTGTTGCTGCCTATCAGTATGACAGTATGTCCTCTCTTCCCCCATCTTTGCCGTTCTTTCCTGCATTTATTACCTTGTTGGTATCAGTGTGGAGTAGAGTTCAGTATCTTTACAGGAGTCTTAAACTTTACACTTTTATTCATTGCCAATTGATGTCATATTAATGTGAGTGTCACATGTCCCCATAATTTACATTTATAGCATATTTGAAGTTTCCCAGAAATATCAGACAGCATTTTTTGTACCATGTCTGCAACAATCATCTGTTTCAGTGTCTGTCGCTTTAAATCAACCTGGCTGCTGCACTGCCCCTTTCAGGAAAGGATCTGAGTGATGGGAACAGCCAATAGGAACAGCACTGCTCATTCTGTAGTCTACACAGCTGCTCATACAGACTAACAGTGTGACTTCCATCACTCTCGTCAATGTTGTTATTTTTAAATACAGCTGAAAGATATGTAAATACAGAGCTTGTTAGTGGCGTTGTGTTTACCCAGCCTGGATTTAGAGGTGCAAAGTTTGTAAGCTGATTTTTACTGTAGTGTGGTGCGTGTTAATGTTAACATTTTGTTGTCCCATTTAACAGGAACAGACTGCCACTAAACTGAAGCACTGAGCAGTTTTGTCATTAAAACTCACCATGCTAGTGTTCCACTTGTGCACTTCTATAGCTTTCCTCAAAAGATCCACTTTCTCTGTGTTCTGTACAACAAGATTACAAGTTACAATTCATCACTTGTAACAAGGTAGTGTTTATGACAGAAGTTTGTAATCTAAAGCATTACATACCAGCAACATGCAAATAAGTGAAACTGGCAGCTTACTTCAAATACTGAAGTGACACCAAAGAAAAGTAGGCAACAGAACAGAGTGTTCTGCAGGTTAAAAAAAAAAAAAAAAAAAAATCCCATTCAGATTCTTCATGGGGATTGATTTGATTAGTCATAATGCAATCATCCACAGCAGATGTATTGTGAACTCTGAATATAAAACTCAGTGCCACAGAAAATTATGTCAGTGTCAAAGAAAAATAACTCTACCCACAATCCTAGAGTGAAATACCTGCACACACACCCTCCCCATACCTTCTTGTTTGGGTCATTAAAAGCCATGACAAAGGCAACTGAGGCACTTGAAGTTGAGGGGATTTCACCTACACGTCCCTGCCTGAACAGTCGCATTGAGGCAGCTTCATAAGATGCACAGTGCTGCCGGTGCACCCTGCCAAGAGATTGGAGAAAAATATTTTAAACAACCTGTGTTCCAAAATGAAACCCCAATTCCAAAAATGTTGGGATACTGTGTAAAAACAAAATATAAGAGAAGTCAATGATGTGCAAGTCAAAGCTATGTTCTAGTCACACTACAATATTTGTTTTTTTTATTCTTTATCTTTACAATGCATGGTTAATAAACAGACAAGTTTAAAACTTCAACATTTTGTTGGTGCAGCCCAAACCTTCTCTAAATTGAGAATTGCAACCATCACCAGTCTCATACAAATGACTTCATTACAGCTTAACAGTTGTAATGAAAATCTTGTGTCAGGCCCTTCAGAAGGGTCAGCTGGCAACAATCTAATTACTAAGCAGGCTATAAAGTTTAGGCATATAGATTAACAAAGAAATACATGTGCTTTTGATAAGGATCAACATTTTATGTGAATGTTAAATAAGCTTTGCTCTCAATTAGGTCTATGCAGGAAAAAAAATTTGTTAAATCTGTGACTACAGCATTTTGTATGAGTGTGAACCCAGGTTGTTACGGTTAATGAGTTTAGGATTGTCTGTTCCATCTTAACTTGGTCAAGAAAAAGTCAGCCTACAGAAACATCTCCATAAGGTTTAGATTACTCACCTGTAGTAGGCCAGCTGTATAGCCATCTGTATGAAAGGATCAGGACTCATCTTGTTTGCTTTTAGAAAGTTTTTCCCATAGTGGCTGAATGAGAGAATACTGAAATCCAGGTCTTGGACGATTCTGTTGTGAAGAGGATAGGATAACAGATGTGTTTGTGTATTGCATGCTCCTGTTATAAGTATTGCTATTAAAATATGTATATATGCCTTGTTAAGTATGGAGAATGGAGGTAATGAACTATGGAGTTTTGCACTGCAATTTCTCTTTTCAGAATCAGGACACTGGGAGAGGTGGCACCAATGAAGGGAGGCAGGACAACACACAATGTATAAAACAGTAACTAATGATCAAATGCAGAATGAAAAGTGTCTTCCTTACTCACATCAGTGCATCATGGGAAGCCCCAGCAACCTACACCTATTTCAGTGTAACTAAAGAAAGATTCAGGGTCACCTGATCTAGTCCTACCTGTATGCTTTATCAAACAGGAAAGCTTTAAGCCTAATCTTAATCTTAAAAGTAAAGATAGTTTCTGTCTCCTGAATACAAACTGGAAGCTGGTTCCACAGAAAGGGGGCCTGAAAGCTGAAGGCTCTGCCTCACATTCTACTTTTAAATATCCTAGAAAACGAGTAAGTCTGCACTCTGAGAGTAACAAGTGCTAATGGGGTGATACAGTACCATAAGGTCATTAAGATTAAGATGGAGCCTGAATATTCAAGAACTTGTATGAGCAGGATTTTAACTTGGATACTGGATTTAACAGAGCTAAAGATAAGCCAATATGCTGTTTTTTTTTTTTATGTCACTGCCTAAGGACAGCATGTATAATGTGAAACAGAAGTGGTCCCAGAACAGATTTATCTGGAACACTATAAATTAACCTTAGTGTGTAAGGAAGACTCCCCATTTACATGGACATCAGATATGGTTCTAACCACTGCAGTGCATCATCTTTAATTCCTACGGCATGCTCAACTCTGTAATAAAATGTTACAGTAATATCGAATGCTGCATGGAGGTCTAGCAGGACAGGCACAGAGGAGAGTCCACTCTCAGTCATGTTTGTTGCTTGGATAGAGAAAAAAAAAAAGTAATGAACCCTATACATAAAGTAACATCTGAGGGATGGTTATTTATTTATTTTAAATGGTTAAAATTATATGAATCAAAAATTTCTTTTCAGACTCTCTCAGCCTAGCTACAGTGTTGAAAAGAAACCTGGGGTTATTTTCTTCCTCCTCAGAGGCCTCATGACATTATGGCCCACAGAGGGTTTTCCATTTCAATGAGCCTCTGTCTATAGCTGGGGGCTCATTTATAAACCTTTTAGTTTTAAAGTTGTGCTCCATTGATAGTTACTTTGAAGCAAAGTTTAGTCTGTTTAGTCCATTTAAAATCAAACTCATTTGTGCATGTGTGAACATTTGATCACACTCTGGTGTGGATCCGACCAATCTAAACTTTAAAAGGTGTACATTTCAAGTTTGAGCTAAAAACTTCCCATAGCAACATACAATTTGCATTCTCATTGTAGCAAAGTACTATGGATGTGCAAAGGTCTGCAGGGGCTTACAACTAGCTGTGAAATGAATGGAAATTCTCTGTTCTCCAATAGTCCAGGATTACAGCACCTTCTTCAGATGTTTACTTTTGTTGCTTCTGCCCCAGACACATCTGGCCAATGAACTGAACGCGACGCATTTTGCTGCGCTTGAAGTATACTTTGATTATTCTCTGTATGAAAACAACCCAAACCACGAGAGTTTACAAACTCATTTACTGATTTGAACTAAATGAACTATAGGTGTGAAAACACCCTTAGTCGTGTTTATTTGGGTTTTTCCTCTGGGGATGGATTTTTGTTTTCAGTGGGGCTATGCAACTAAAACTTGAGCAGTAGCTTTTGTACTCACTTATCAATGCTTTGTTTGGCCTCCTCAATTGCTTTTTTGATGTCAGCTGTGATGTTGAAGTGTAGTTTCTGAGGTGTGGGCAAAGGCACCGTGGGAGACTCTATGATCTCTAGTTTCTTGCTGTTTCCAAAAAGGAGAAAAAAACAACAACAAATGACAAACAGGGAATGCTACTGAGGGGCAGAAAAAAGCCAGCACAGGTAAAACAATCTCTTATGTCAATGGACATTTCTATCAAGAGACTTTTTGCAAGTGTGTTGAAAGCTTAAGGAGAAAAAAAAAAGAAAAAAGTATGAAGTCACAGATGGGCTTTCCACCCACAGGAAGCATTCTAGTGTGTTTTGGGTGGCAGTCAGAGGCACAGGCCCTGGCAGGCTCTTTAAGTTGGCTATTGGCACATTGAATGTCACCTCTCTGGTGGGAAAGCTGGAGTTAGTGCTGTCTCTAGATTGGGCAACTCCAGATTGAAACCACAGTAACTGGACTTTTACTTTCATAGCGCTTTGTTACCCTGAGCACTCAAAGCCTCAAGCATCTCCAAAGACACTTTTTTTTATAATGTCAAGAAAGCCAGCATTGAAAGAGATCCCATCCCCAAGAACACTTTTTTTAAACCCTTTGTTAAACATTAAAGATAAAAACCTGAGTATTAATCCACATTAGTATAAATAGCTCTAACAGGTTAGACCACCATTTTTATAGTAACAGATCCCTAGGGCTTAATGTCTAGGCTACAAAACCAAACCCAGTCATAGTCCAAGAGCAGTGATCTAGAAGGGAGCTGCCAGAACAGGAGTGGCTGGTAGAAGAGCTTCCGGAAAGTGGCATTCAAAACTGGGCAAGCCTTCTTGGATTGAGGTTCTGGTTCCACAAATTGACAACGCCTAAGCTTTTTGTCTAAAATTTGTGCACACAATCAAATTCCAATAGTTGTACATGGATAATTTGACATGCAGACTGAAGTAGCTGGTGAATCCATCCTTTGGCATGGGTTTCATAGATTGTTGCTTCCCTGCACTTCTGGGCCAGAAAACAGACTGTTGTCTGTCCTTATGTGCCAAAAGACAGTTCAGAGTAGCCAGCATTGTCGAAGTTGTTAGGTGGGGTGCTAGAGAGTACACCACCAAGCAACTTTGTCCTATGGGGAGACTTCAATAATAATGTGGGCAATGACAGCAAGACCTGGAGGGGTGTGATTAGAGGAATGGCCTGCCTGATCTGAATCTGACCACACTCAGATTAAGATCAGTCTGTCCATAACATGTTCAAACATAAGGGTCTTCATGAGAAAATGTGGCACCAAGACATCGCAGGGTGATGAAAGGTGGCGGATTGGACAGATGCTGGCAGACGTGTAAAAATAACGCAATTGTTTGGTAGTGGCTATGGTGGAGCTTTCACAGATTCAGTAAAATTAGCAAGTGATGGAGGCCAGCAGGTGGATGGGGGAAAGGGGAGGCGGAGGTGGCGAGACCCAAAGCAGCCGCCAATCCGACTGTCTGGTGAGATGAGCTTCAGGTAAGAAGTTATGACCTGCAGTCTATCTGGGTCAGATATAAACCAAGTTTAGGTGGAGTTTATTTTCGTTCTGTTAACTTTTTACAGTCAGTTACAATAACTGGTACTGTGTACTAGCTAGCATGACGGACTTTCTATAGAGTTGGGTGGGTGCTATTATATTACTGGTGAACTTTATTTTATTCATATGGTTAGTTAGTAGAGTTGCCTACCAACCCGTAAAAAACAGAATCCTCTGGTATTCAGAGTTAATATTACACGTTTCGTATTGAGCTGAAAATAAACGCGATTTGTCCCGTACTTCAGCTACAATAAAAAGAAAAAAAAAAAAGACAAAAAGCTGGAGTTATTCTGTGTCTTTACGCTGTCAGCTGCCTCTTCTCTCATCCCCCCCTGTTGCTACTTCAATCACAAAACTGATCAATGATCAGCTGATCGGCGTTTCTGCCGCAAGTCCCGTCTCTCTTGCTTGTTTATCTCCTGCTTTGCGCCAGAAAGAGGAAACTAGTTGAGGTTGTGTTAAACAGCAGAAGCGCCTTTAAACTTGATCAGCTGTTGTTAGAATTTATTTAATATTACTTTCTAGTATCAGCTGAGGTTTGCTGGAGCTACAGCTGTAAAAAGTGCTGGTCATGATATCGGTTTGGTTATCTGGTGAGAGGGAAACATGAAGATGAAACCAGGAGAGGTCCTTACTGAATCATCAGAGCTGAACAGGTGATGGAGAAACAGGTTTACCTTTTAGATGACATGAATGGGTTGAAGGGAAGCTATGAACTGATTCTGAGAGACAACTTACACCTTTTCTATGTAGCTGACAGCTGGTAACTGTGCAGGGGCGGGTCTAGCAAAGTTTTGCCAGGGGGCCAGGTAGGGCATTAACAGGGAAAGGGGGGCACAAAGAAATACTTTTCTTTCTTATTCTCATTTAAAATTTCTAGCTTTTAACAAATAATTATCTGAATCTTACAACCAATGTTTTCATCTGATGTCAAATTTATAGAAATCCATTATTGTACATAGTAAGTTCTTTTCAGGGTCCCAACATAATTTCTTCAGAAGAAATTACTGTACATGATGCCAGTATTTTCCCCACATTTTCTAGATACTGTACTAGTACTTTGTGTAAAATGCCTTCAAAAAGTCAGTTTAGTTTTATTCTTTCTCACCTGTCTTTCTGTCTCCTTTCACTTTTAAAAGGTTGCCATGTTAGAAAAAATATTTTGCCCTGCCATGCCGTTTATTGATGTGGTAAATAAATAGTTTATGAAAATATCGCTAAATCTGTCATTTATTATTTTTAATATTCAGTAATAGTCATGTCTTACTTCTAGTCTTCTCTGTCTTAATTTCAGGTTTCCACCATATGTTGTAGATAGTTCAGGAAGTTAACTCAACCAAGCAGTCTTTGGGTTTCGGCTAAGTACTGTTTAGAATACCAGAATAGGGAGGATGGTGTAGGTTTAAGTTTATTAGATTGATACATATGTACCAACAAGACAGTGTACATCACTGTCACAACGACGTTTGTTTTCATTCAAAGGCTTTATGGTTTTTCCTATAATACCTGGTGGGCCGGTCTCTAGTCAAAATACCCGGGCTGATTTTTTGTCCCAGTCCAGCCCTGTCTGTGGCTGTATGGTCTGGACACTCGGGCTGAGCGGTCAACTAAGCATCACCTTGTGGTGAGTTGATGAGGTGGTGGGGAGGATGCTGAACAGGGTTGGCATGCCTAAATGTGTAAAGGTCCACTGGGATGATCTGGGAGAAGCCCCCCTGGTCCAGGAGATCTTTAATTCCTACCTCCAGTAATAATAATAATAATAATAATAATAATAATAATACATTTTATTTAAATAGCGCCTTTCAAAGCACCCAAGGACACTGTACAACAGATAAAAACTGGAAATATACACAATGGTAAAAATAGAAGATAAAAGTTAAAAAATTTAAGTTACAGAAATTTAAGAATAGGCAATTTTAAACAGATGAGTTTTGAGGGTGACTTAAAAAGAGAATGAACTAATATTTCTGAGGTCCGGGGGTAGGGAATTCCAAAGTCGAGGGGCAGAGCAGCTAAAGGCCCTCCCTCCCATTGTGATCAGACGAGCAGAGGGAACAGAGAGAGAAAGAGAAGATGAAGATCTGAGGCAGCGGGATGGGAGCTTCATCTGTAATAAGTCAGAGAGGTACGGTGGAGAGAGAGAATGAATAGCCTTGAATGTATACAGAATTATTTTAAAATGGATGCGAAATTTGACCGGGAGCCAGTGAAGTTGCTTCAGGATTGGGGAGATGTGGTGGGTAGAAGAAGTCCTAGTAATAATACGGGCAGCAGAGTTCTGGACACGTTGGAGCTTGTTGATAGATTTTTGTGTAAGGCCAAATAATGAGTTGCAGTAGTCAATTCTAGAGATAACAAGATTATGGATGAGAATGGCAGTGGCGTGAGGTGTGAGGAAGGGGCGGAGGCGATTAATGTTACGGAGTTGGAAATATGCTGCACGTGTAATATTATTGATATGTGAGTTAAAGGATAATGTGCTATCGAGAATGACACCCAAGCTTTTCACAGAGGGAGAGATAGGGACCAGCGAGTTATTGATGGTGAGAGAGAAATTGTTAATTCTGGATAGCAGTCGTTTAGTGCCAACCAGAAGAAGTTCCGATTTATTGCTGTTGAGTTTAAGAGAGTTGGAGGAGAACCAAGAATTAAGTTCAGCTAGACAGAGGATGAGGGAGGGTGGAGGAAGAGTAGAGTCAGGTTTGGTAGAGAGATAGAGCTGGGTGTCATCGGCGTAGCAGTGGAACTGAATATTATATTTACGAAAAATATGTCCGAGTGGAAGAAGGTAGATGATGAAAAGAAGGGGCCCGAGGACAGATCCCTGGGGCACCCCAGTGGATAAAGGAGAAAGCTGAGAAGTGAAGGATTTTAATTGAATGAACTGAGTGCGGTCAGATAGGTATGATTTAAACCAGGCTAGTGGAGTGTGAGAGAGACCAATAGAAGCGAATCTGCTAAGGAGAATGGGATGAGAGATGGTGTCAAAAGCTGCACTCAGATCAAGAAGGATAAGGATGGAGAGGAGACCAGAATCAGCTGCTATAAGAAGGTCGTTTGTTATTTTTATAAGAGCAGTTTCAGTGCTATGTAGAGGACGAAAGCCAGACTGGAACTGTTCGTAAAGGTTATTATCAGTTAGGTGAAGATGGACTTGTGAAGCAACTATTTTTTCAAGGATTTTTGAGAGAAATGGTAGATTGGAGATAGGACGAAAATTATTAAAGTTGTTGGGATCTAGACCAGTTTTTTTCAGAATTGGGGTAATAGCAGCAACTTTGAAGGAAGCAGGAACAGTTCCAGTGGTGAGTGAAGAGTGAATAATAGCAGATATGAGGGGAAGGAGAAGGAGTAAGCAGGCTTTGACGAGGACAGTGGGGATAGGATCGAGCTGGCAGGTAGAAGGCTTTGATTTATGGATGAGATCAGCAATATCAGCTAAGGATGGAAGTTGAAAAACAGAGAGGAAGTGAGAAGGGGGAGAGGTTAGGACAGAGAAGCTACATTGAGCATTAGGGTCCAGGTCTAAGTGTATTTTATGAATTTTATCAATAAAGAATAGCATTAGAGCATCACAGAAGTTAGATGAATAGAGATGAGCAGGGAGAGAATCAGGTGGCCTGTTAAAAGAGTTGAATAGTGAGAAAAGGGTCTTGGTAGAGTTCTCACTTGAGCAGACAATAGCAGAGTAATAAGCAGATTTGGTTTGACTAATACATTCCTGGTAAAACAGAACGTGGTTATTAAACATATCCTTATGAATAGTAAGGCCAGTTTTCTTATAGAGACGTTCAAGCTGTCGGCCTTTAGCTTTCAGTAGCCGGAGTTCAGGGGTGTACCAGGGTGCAGAGCGAGAAAAAAGTACAGTTCTGGTTTTTTGTGGAGCCAGGGAATTTAAAATACTACTAAGGCTATGATTATAAAAAAGTACCAGGTCCTCTTGAATAGCTAAGTTGTTAGAAGACAAGCAGCTAGAAAAAGCAGAGGAAAGGATATCAAGATTTATATTCTTGATATTCCGGAAAGAGATAATACGGGGATTGTTAATTACAGAGAGGGTCATGTGAACATTAAAGGAGAGAAGTAGATGGTCCGAAATTAGCAGTTCGTCAGCTGTACAGATGGAGGGGGTAAGTCCAGAACAGCAGACTAGGTCCAAAGTGTGGCCCTTAATGTGGGTAGGGAAGTTTATGTATTGTTTAAGGCTGAAGCTATCAAGGCAGGATAGAAGGTCCTTGGTAAGAGGATGGTCGCAGTTATCCACGTGAACGTTAAAGTCACCCAGCAATATTATATTAGGGGAGACAGTAGCTAGATTGGTCAGCAGATCGCCAAAGTCACTGATAAAAACAGAATTAAATTTTGGGGGGGCGGTAGATGACAGCTATTACAGTTGGGGTAGGTCCTGAAAGTTGACAAACAACAGATTCAAAGGAACTGTACGTAGGGGCGGACAGCGACGAGACTTTCCAGTTCTCGCGATAGATTATCGCGAGGCCACCACCACGGCCGGACTCGCGAGGTTGGCAGGTGTAAACAAACCCCGGGGGGGTGGAGTCGTTGAGTTGCGAAAAGTCATTGGGCTGTTGCCATGTCTCAGTCAAGCAGAAAAAGTCAAACTTACGGTCTGTTAGGAGATCCTGGATGAGATGTCCTTTGTTCGTAAGCGAACGGATATTAAGCAGGCCGAAGTTGACAGAAATACTGTTGGACTGGATGAGAGTGTTAGCCGACCTAGGCAGACCAGTCAGAACATTGCGGTCAATAGACCTGCAGGGGTTCCGTTGAGAGCGACCAGAGGTGGACCAGAAGGACTGAATTGGTTTGGAATTATCCTGATGGAAATACCGACGGGAGCCTCGATGTACGTACTTTCGACGAGGGAGGAAGGCAATGTCCGTGTGGAAATGAAGAGCAGCCAACGGCGGAGCAGCTAAAGAGAAGCGGAGGCAGAGGAGCTCATCAGCTGTATATTGATGAAGTCCAGTGCCGAGTCGGTAGATTGATGACATAAGGATCCAGACCCACACTGAGAGTACATAGATCCTGAAAGGCCACATCATGGACAGGAACAGCTGGGTAGGGACACCGGTGGGCCTTAGAAACAGGAGTAGGACAAAAGTCCAGAAGTCCAGAGTCCAGTAGCATTAACGTTAGCGATAGTGGTGAATGGCGGCCGGTGAGTAGCGGCAGCCAGTCGCGCCAGCGTTCACTCAACCGGAAAAGCTTACGTAGAACTCATCTCAATATCCTGTTCAGGAGTGAGCTGTTCATGGGACTTTTGCCGGCTCTGTAATGATGTGGATGTTGTACCACTACATTGTGGTGAAGTTAGCTGAGGGTAAAAGGGAAGCTGTTGATTAAGTTGTTGATCAAGCTACGTCCCCATGCTCACTTATGGTCAATGAATTGGCGGAAAGAATGAGTTTGCCTTTACAAGCAGTGGAAATGAGCTTTCTCTGAAAGTTCTCTCCTTAGGCTGTTGCCTCCATGTCCAAGCCCCAAGCACAAGGATCAGTTTATCCTTGTGTCTTATAAATTTAATGGAAAAGAAATACACTTGTCTGTGTTAGGGTAAGAATAATGTATTTTTAGAAGTCACCTTGCCTCATATTTGAGCTTTTGTTAACAGACCAAACAACAAAACTAAACTATAGAACACTGCATTTTAAATGTATACTTACATGGATGCTGAAACATAATCAGTCAAGGTCATACCAATTGTACCATCTGCACAACTATGCGAGACGTTGTTACCAAATGCCCCATCTTCTCCAATAATGAACTGAAACAAAGAAGGCAAAACAGCCATTAGCATTACATTTCAAGCTGGATTAGTCTATATCTTTCAGTAATTAAGACATTGTGCTTCAGTTTTAGTTTTGCTCTGTAGATCTTTAGACTGTCTGCAAATTGTGACGCAAGAATACATTTTAATTCAATATATCATATACAGTGGGGCAAAAAAGTATTTAGTCAGCCACCGATTGTGCAAGTTCCCCCACTAAAAATGATGACAGAGGTCAGTAATTTGCACCAGAGGTACACTTCAACTGTGAGAGACAGAATGTGAAAAAAAAAAATCCATGAATTCACATGGTAGGATTTGTAAAGAATTTATTCGTAAATTAGGGTGGAAAATAAGTATTTGGTCACCTCAAACATGGAAAGTCTCTGGCTCTCACAGACCTGTAACGTCTTCTGTAAGAAGCTTTTCTGTCCCCCACTCATTACCTGTATGAATGGCACCTGTTTGAACTCATCATCTGTATAAAAGACACCTGTCCACAGCCTCAAACAGTCAGACTCCAAACTCCGCCATGGCCAAGACCAAAGAGCTTTCGAAGGACACCAGGAAAAGTATTGTAGACCTGCACCAGACTGGGAAGAGTGAATCTACAATAGGCAAGCAGCTTGGTGTGAAAAAAATCAACTGTGGGAGCAATCATAAGAAAATGGAAGACATACAAGACCACTGATAATCTCCCTCGATCTGGGGCTCCACCCAAGATCTCATCAAGCAAAGATCACAGAACCACACGGGGGGGGACCTGGTGAATGACCTGCAGAGAGCTGGGACCAAAGTAACAAAGGTCACCATCAGTAACACACTACAACGGCAGGGAATCAAATCCCGCAGTGCCAGACGTGTTCCGCTGCTGAAGCCAGTGCATGTCCAGGCCCGTCTGAAGTTTGCCAGAGAGCACATGGATGATACAGCAGAGGATTGGGAGAATGTCATGTGGTCAGATGAAACCAAAGTAGAACTTTTTGGTATAAACTCAACTCGTCGTGTTTGGAGGAAGAAGAATACTGAGTTGCATCCCAAGAACACCATACCTACTGTGAAGCATGGGGGTGGAAACATCATGCTATGGAGCTGTTTTTCTGCCAAGGGGACAGGACGGCTGATCCGTGTTAAGGACAGAATGAATGGGGCCATGTATCGTGAGCTTTTGAGCCAAAACCTCCTTCCATCAGTGAGAACTTTGAAGATGAAACGAGGCTGGGTCTTCCAACATGACAATGATCCAAAACACACCGCCCGGGCAACAAAGGAGTGGCTCCGTAAGAAGCATTTGAAAGTCCTGGAGTGGCCTAGCCAGTCTCCAGACCTCAACCCCATAGAAAATCTGTGGCGGGAGTTGAAAGTCCGTGTTGCTCGGCGACAGCCCCAAAACATCACTGCTCTCGAGAAGATCTGCATGGAGGAATGGGCCAAAATACCAGCTACTGTGTGTGCAAACCTGGTAAAGACCTATAGTAAACGTTTGACCTCTGTTATTGCCAACAAAGGTTATGTTACAAAGTATTGAGTTGCATTTTTGTTATTTTTTTCCACATTCTGTCTCTCACAGTTGAAGTGTACCTCTGGTGCAAATTACTGACCTCTGTCATCATTTTAGGTGGGAGAACTTGCACAATCGGTGGCTGACTAAATACTTTTTTGCCCCACTGTAAGGCCAAATCATAGCAGTTGCCCCAAGTTGCTTTATATTTTAATGTAAAGAACCTACAATAATCCAGAGAAAAGACTAACAATCACATGTTCCAATTGGGTCATATGGTACTTTAAAGTCTTAGTAAGATGAAGTGTTTATTCAGGACCTTGTATGTTGTGAAAGTATTTTAAATTAGATTGTGGATTTAACAGGGAGCCAATGAAGAGAAGCCAGTATAGGAGAAATCTGCTCAAAGAAGAAGAACTAATAATTACAGTAGTTCCACCTAGAAGTAATAAATGCAGGAATTAGTTTTTCTGCATCACTATGAGACAGGATATTTCTCATTTTATGCTTATGCAAATGGAGGAAAATCAGTTCTACATATTCGTTTAACATGCCCACCAAAGGACATATCCTGGTTTACAAGGTCTCCAAGATTCCTCACCAGTGTTGGTCAAGTTACTTGAAAAAAGTAATCAGTAACTAATTACTGATTACTTCCCCCCAAAAGTAATCCCGTTACTTTACTGATTACTTATTTTCAAAAGTAATTAATTACTTAGTTACTTTTTAAAAACACGATTTACAACCTGAAGAGGTGATAAAGCGATAGAGCTTTCAGCCCAATTCTACTTTTTCTGCATAATCCATCATACAAAATGTAATCAAATGGAAAAGTATCTTTTTTTAAACTTGTTTTATCAGTTTTAATCTTTTAACTTTATGCATCAAGCAAAAATTTAATTATATGCAACATTCTCTGACTTGAATAAATTAGTTTAACATTTAAACCTATTTTCTGCACATTCCAGCACATAAAATAAAATAGTTTTTGTGTTTACACTCACTCTTTCAAATAGATGCAAGTAAAACACAGCAGAAAATAAATAAAGTCAAAGACTCAGCGGTCCTTTTGCTCTATTTTCACCTGTAAAGCAGGAGTAGGGTAGGCGGAGGTTTCCTCTGGTGCAGGTGTGCTGCGGTCAGTTGAAGAATCCGCGAGTTTCTCTGTGAGTTTCCCATTACGTCGTAGCGCACTCGGTGCTTGCTTGGAAGTTTAGGGGTTTTTTCGCTGTAAAAAGAAGTTTTCTTCCCACGCACAACGGACGCTAATGTTTTTGTCACTTTTTATGGAATCAAACTTAAAGAAAGGTCAGTACTTCCACGCTTTAAACGCTGCATGCTCATACTCTCTCCCGCACTCCATATATTATCCATTGTTGATCTGCACACAGCTGTTGTCACGAACGTTGCACTTGCTTACGTCACTGTCATGAGACATTCTCGCAAAAAATAAATAAATAAATCACGGTTTTAGTAATGCAGTAACGCAGCATTCCTACGGGAAAGTAACGGTAATCTAATTACAGTTTTTGCAATAGTACTATAGTATTACTATAGTAATAGTAATAGATTTGGAGTCAACAGTATCCTTGACACACAACGTAACGTTCGGTCATGTGCAAAAGCATCAGCTCTAAGAGCCGTGCTTAGAGAGTGCTTTGTAGTCAATCAGAAGAGTCGACTCCCACTGAATGAGAGCCGGCTCCTCACTTAATTTCCTTTAGCTGCTCAGCTCTCACGCAGTGGCTCAGTTATGCTCCAATCCCTCCATATTGTGGCCAATCACATGCGAGGATATAGGATAATATCATTATGTGAAAAACAGAGGATGAGAGACGCGACAGTCAAGTGGAGCGTGCGTCTGTCCTCTCAGTGAGTGAGACAGTAGACAGCAGTGAGGAGGGCTGTGAGAGTGCATCGCAAAAACACATAAATATTCCTGACACCCGTAAACGAAGCAGCATCTGGCTGTAGTTCAAAGACTTGTCTCGGCCTTGGTCTCATCTCAACTTTGTCTTGGTCTCGATACCCTCCAGTCTTGGTGTTGTCTTGGTTTAGGCGGTCTTGACTACAAGTCTATTAGATACTGTAGAATGTTTAGCTGATTTTAGAGTTTAGAAATGTGTTAAAATATAATGTAGAACTATTGTAGAGACACTGCCCTTAAAGTAATAAAGGCTGACTGTGTCGTGAACTTAGGAGTAGAGTGTAGGAGACCTCCCCCACTGAGTGGAAATTCCCCAGAGGGGTTTTATGACCTCTAGGGAGTTACCTACACCCACAGTGTTTTAACTGTCACGCACACACATCCACACTCACTCATGTGCACTCACACATACACACAGGTATGCGTACACAGTCACACACGAGCACTCACATAGACACGCGGGAACGTGCACATGTAGGCATTCATGTGCTCGTGCACATAGACACAGAGTTTGCAGCACACCGTAGGGGGTTTTATGATGGGGTCACTTCTATAAATCTGGCTGTAACTAACAAAGGGGTGAAGATTTTGGAGAGGGACACCGGCCTCGTCTTCCCTTCTAGAAGATGCATGCTTAAATGAAGATGAATAAAGATGAATAAAGGTTTTGTGAAATGGCTACTGAGTTCCGGTGCCGTCTCTGGAAGTTTTGACGAATAAAAGAACCGGGGTAAAACTGATTTCTCAACAATACCTATTGCATGCTCTAGTCACTGTAATAATACATCATTGTCCACAGTACTGAATGCGGCACTTAGGACAATTACAACAACAAACCAACTAACCGTTCAACCTAGTTGCACCTAAGGTTTTAAAGTTAAAATTTATGATTTGTTAGAATATTCTTTGTACTCACTTCTGTGATTTTGTATCCAATTATATATACATTTTTAAAATACTTTATAAGTGATTCTAGAATTTTTTTTTAATCAATTAAATTTTATTTTATTTATTTATTTTATTTTTTACACCTGTGATGGCCAAACCCATGGCCACACTCTAAAGTCGGTAACTTTTGTATTTTCATTCTTCATTTGAACATATTAATACATTTTAGTTTCCAATAACTTTATTGATCGGTTTGGATACATTTGTTCTATTTGTAAGCGCGCACATTTAGTTTACTTATGTATTCATACTACTTCATTTCTTTGCTTTCTGACTAACCTTTGTCTTTTTATTTCTTACCTGCCATCATCCCTGGGAGTTGCCGGACAAAAGATGGTAGCCAGGGTTTGAAACCATTAAATATGAAGGAAGATAATTGGACCACACCACCACTTCCTGCTGAAGGGGGAATGTGTTTTCTCTTTACTTTAAAAACAAAGTATTTGTATTTAATTAAATATTTGAGTTTAGGGTTTAATGGGGTTTTTTGATTTTCTTCTTTAGTGTTTAGTTTATTAACAAACTAGATTGTACTGCTGTTTGTGATTTATGATTGTGTTTTGTTTGTTACCCCTCATGTGTCACAATGGTCTGATCAGCCATTATATATACCCTTGTATG